AGCCAGGGGGAGTGTAGCCAATCTAGAGGGTGCGGGGGGGGTGAGGGCAGTCACTTGGCATGCGTGAAAAGCTGGGCATGCCCACCCCACTTGTACAGAGCCGAACAAAGGATGTAGCAAGACCTGTTTCAATATAAAGTAAAGGTATACCTGGAACCAGTTTTCTCAGAGCGTCGTTGATTTGCTTGCACCCAAGATGGCAAGATATCGGGTGGATTAGCATCGATCAACAAGGAATCATAGGTTACTGCGCATAGTAAATCACAAACAGAAACATTGCAGTGCCTTCAAATAACCATAATTCACTATTTGATGGTTATTTCCAGCTGGAAAAAGACGGTAAAAATTAGTATTCCATACCTGCACACATCAAACGCAACGTCGTAGTTCTTGATGGCGATGAGCTTATCAACTATTTCTTTAGGATCAGTAGGAGGCACTTCCCCAGTTACCAATAAAGCCACACGCGCACTCGCCACCACGCATTCCTCACATAGTCTGTAAATAATCTCAGCAGCCCTGCAATTTTATGCACAAATTCATTTCCAAGGTGGAAAAATTGCATACGCTTCTGCTGTGAGGATGAACATCCGATGTTGTGTAGAAGGTCGTACTGGAGTAGGTATATTAAGCTCATCAGCGATAACATCATGCAAGGTTACATCAATCATCTCTTGCGTGATTTCTTGTGCCGCTTCTAACTCGCCATTTCCACAAGATTCCTTCGGCAATTGGAACTGTAATGAAACAGCATAAAAATCTCAGTCATGAATACAAGAAGTCATTCACTCCATCAATCCCAAAAACATCGACTGAGTCCAAGTAAGACATCCCTAAAACACCCAGGACATCGCTCGTTAATGAAGGCGGAATTGACTGGAGATGAATAAAAAACACCGATAAAGCTCTTGAAGGGACCTCTCTTTTAGCAGGATCCATCTTGGGATAAGGAAAGGACATGTACGGAAGAGTTTCTAGTTGTTGGCTCTGGGTAAGCATTTGATAAGGTTGTCAAAACATGTCGGACAGCTGGTTTTTGAACACTTTGGAATTACTGCAATACGTCGTATCCCATGTCGATGATTACAGTGATTATCCTACGCCGCACCGCGTTATGTATTAGGAATCAGCGCGACAAGTCTCTTGCAATTGCTCGGATTTGCTCAACATGTAAACCCTAACGCCTTCGTTGCGCAATTTTTAGC